CCTCCTTTATTCCTATTTATCAGCCTGGTTTCAGCTCCCTCACCCCTAGCAGAGGCCGTGTCAGGGTGGGGAAACTGAGGCACGGAGCAGCAACAAGACGCCAGCAGAGGCTGAAGGGTTTAATACCTTTTTGCATCACTAAGTATTCATGCTCAGACTCCTGCCACAATTATCCCAGGGGCACGGGGCAGGGTTTCATCCCCAGCAGGGATCTCTCAGCTGTGAGAGATAAGAGAGAAGCGAATTTAATCTGGTTTATAAAAGTCACCCCAAAACACTTCGGGAACAGAGCGAAATGCTTGCAGAGCTGTTAGCTGTTCTCTTGAGGCCATGGGAGACCCGGAGGTTGGATCCCTCTGAGGCATCATGGAGGAGCTGGGGGCTTTGGCCGCTCAGCATAGCCCCAGCGCAGGGTCAGGAGCAGCGCAGCCCCCACGGGGCTGGGAGGGCCAGCAGCCAGTGGGAGCGGCTGTGTCCAGCTCTGCTCAGGTGATGGATGGCTCCAAAGCGGATCTGCTTCGATGCTGGGGATGCTCCAGTGACCCCTCACATGCGAAATGGGGACGTGAAATGAGACTTGGGCTCCAGGTCCCTGTATTCATTTCTGGCTGCTAAAATTGCACATGTGAGACGCATTTGGACACCGGGCCGAGGAAGTAGCTCAAGCTCTGAGCACAACAGATGCCTCTTTGAAGGAGATGCCTTCAGGGATGTGCTGGGTTGTGTTTGTCCTGGGATGAAGGACACGGCTCGGCCAAAGCTGTTTCCTTTTCCTTCAATGTGAACACCCGTGTTTCTGCAGACGGCATCATCTGAAGGGATCAGAAACCACCTCGTCTCTGGGCTTAAAGATCTTTAATTCAGGGAAAACTCGGGTTCAGCGCTGGAGCCAGTGGATACTGGCCCAGCGCTCCAGACCTGAGCTCTGGAGGTAGCTGGGATGAGCATCCTCCCCCCGGCCGGGAGACGAGCATCTCTGGCTGCCTAGGGAGGCTCAGCCCTGGTGCTCAGGCAGGGTTCTACTGCCCGCAGCACTGCTACGGCTTCTCCAAAATAACCCCTGGTGCTAAAATACCTTGTGTGTATTTGCTGCTTTCCACCACCACGGGACCCAGCGATCCCAAGCTGGTAGCTGGGGAGGGGACAGGGCCAAAAACCCACCCAGCGACTGTCCTAAAGTTAAGTCATCGGGTGCAAACTTCTGGTGCTCATGTTACCTGGAGGGCGAGCAGCAGCTGGTTCCCGAGAGCTGCTCCAGGGACACGGAGGCCCTGCGGCTGGGTTGCATTAAAGGAGAAAGTCATTTCCCTTTTGAGCTAATTTCAAAGGAGCCGCCTGTGTCTATCTAGGTCAAGCCATAACCTGCTTTAGCTGGGCAAAGCGGCGGCAGGACGCCAGCGTGACGCAGCGTGACGCAGCGTGACGTGGCACTCGCCTGCTCCCCTGCTGCCACGGCATGTGGGGCACATGCTGGGGGGGGGAGCCGGTCCCTGGGGGCAGAGTTTGGATGGGGTAGAAATCAATCTGGAGGCAAATGAAGAATTTGTTTGGAAGAAGAATGGGCCGAATCTCTCCCGGGAATGGTTTTAGTCTGTGCTCGTTAATAAAATGACGGGATGAGTAGGAGGGCTGCTTGGCACAGGAGCGGCCCCTCTTGGGGCTGATGGGGGGAAATAGGGACTTGGTGGGAGCTGCTTTGGTTTATCCCTTTGGTGGCATCCCTGGGTGCGGGACTCCAGCCCGAGGGTCCGGCTGGTGTTACAGCCTGAGGGAGCGGGGCTGCATGCACATCTCCCCTTGCCCACCCCCGGCATCTCTAAAGCGGGGTGAAGCCCGAGGATGGGCCACCCATGCTTAGCTGGGCGCAGCGAAGCGATGGGTGTCCTCAGAGACCTCTGAGGTGTGTGCTGCAGGGAGGGGATGGCTCCGAAGCCCGGCTCCCAGCAGGCATTGGCATCTCCTGGGAAACCTCAACCCTGCAAGCACAAGAGGAGGATTGAATTTTTTGTGGCCAACGTGGCAGCTTTGGCTTCTGCTGCAGCTGCAGCATCACAGCGAAGTGGCCACTGGTGGGCTCAGAGGGGAGAAATGGAAGTTGTGTCCACAAGAGAGAAATCCAAAGTGAATAGACTGGAAAAAAAAATCTATAAAACCTGGTTACAGCCCCGATGCCACGTGCCTGGTGAGCAGGCAGGGCTGGAGGGTGCTGCATGCTGGTGATGCTCAGATGGTGCTGGTGAAGGTAAGGTCGTAGCATAAAACTAGACAGATTTTTTTTTGCCTCTGAGTTTGTTGACGAGGAGCTCAGGACTGGCTTTATGGAGGCAGGGGCAGATGATCTCCCTCCGTGTTAGGAGAAAACCCACCAGCAGCAGCCCCTGGGGCTGGAGGTGTTTGTGCAAGGGACTTTGAGGGTGAAATAGGTGAGTTGGCGCCAATGGTCTAACCACTCATGTCCGTGAGGCTGGAGCTTCGCTGGCTCTTGGCCCCATCCCGGGCATCTTCGCGCTTACGGGGAGGAAGGTTGACCCCATTTGCGTTTGCACAAGGTATTTTGCAGCTCAAGGCTGCAAACTGCTCTGCCCCCAGGCACAGCGCTCCTGGGGCAAGGGGCTGGGTTAAAGGGAGTGAAAAAAAGTGCAAAATTGGGGTTTGTAAGTGTGGGTTGTGGGGCACAACCTGGGAAAGGGCTGAAGGGCTGAGGGGAGCCGGTTGCTGCTGATATTCTCTGCTGGGTGGGCTGCAAAGGGGCGATTGGGAGCGTCGTGCCCCTGGGGATGTGCTGGTCTCCAGCTCCTGGCTGGTGCTGGGTGCCGGGTGCTGGGTGCTGAGCCCTGTCCTCCTTGCTGCCAGGAGTGACCTTTGTGGGTGCAAGGAAATCTCGTGGGTGCAGGGAAAGCCCCACATGGCCCCCGCCTGGCTCCTGCCGCCTGCCCCGCAGCACCCTTGGGTGCGGGCTGGTGCCAGCACGGGGCCCCTCACTGGGGGCTGTGGTTGCCCACCAGGGCTGGATCCAGACCTATTTGCCAGCGTGGGGGTGGCAGAGCCCCAGTGCCTGTCTCCATCTCACCCCACGCAGCGGCTCGGGGATGGATCTGTCCCAGAGACCCCCCTGAGAGCCTTGCCCCAGGGCTTCCTCCGTCCACCGGTGCCGTGACTCGGGGCCGTGACCATGGTGAGCTGAGGCAGAGATGTCTCAGCCGGGAAGCAGGGAGCGAGAAAATGTCCCCGGCTGCTTCAAAGGCTTCAGCGAGAGCAAGCCCAGAGCTGTGTGTGTCAGTTCCCTCTTCCCTTTAATTAAAACTGCCTTGAAAAGACCTTTGTAGCTCCTGGCTGGCGCTGGAGTCAGCGCTGCGATGCCTAGATCTGGTCCGCTGCATCAGCCCTTCTCCCCGTGACCCATGGCTCTGCTGATCAAGTGATCCAGCTCATGTGGGTCTGGCAAAAGGGAATTTGGGTGTGTTCACCCGAGCACTGTCTGTGGCAGGGACATGGCCACCCCGGAGGGGGGCTCGCTGTGGGGGATGTGGAGGAAGGCTTGGTCCTTGCAGACTCCCAAAAGCCTGGGGGGAGCAGGGCTCGGGACAGCTGTAGGTTGGGGAAGAGGCAAAACGGGGTGGTTTGGGGCAGTTTTGGACCTTGCTCATGCAACACCCTCTGCTGGGAGATGCAACGGGTGCAGGGCTGAGGCTGGGTGCTGTTCCCATCGGGGTGATGGGAGCCATCCCCCTGCACCCCATGGCTTGGCAAGAAACCTTCTCCAGCTCCTGAGAAGCTCCGTCTCGGCCAGGTGGTTTGAAAGGCGGCCAGGCTGCCGGCTCCGGGCTGCAAACAGAGCAGCTTGTGTGCAGCCCCGTACCTGGGCGGCAGCGTCCCCCCAGCCCGCCAGGAATGGCTTCGTTCGGCTCCAGCACAGCCCCGAACGCGCTTGCTGGAGCGGCCGCACAAAGACCCGCTTGTGCTCGCTGCACCCACCCGGCCCTAAGCCAGTGCCGGGGGAGAGGAACCCCCCCGTGGGTGATGGGGACTGCGAGTGGCTGACCTGAGCTGATGGTCCCCCCTAGGATGCTCGGGGACCCTAAAAAGCTTTTGCTCCCCTCCCCGGAGGTTTTCCTTCAAGGAGGCTGAGCGAAACCGTGCTGGAGCGACCCGTGAAATGTGTGTCCCAGGAGATTTGTGGCACCCAGCACCCATTTGCCTTTCAGTTCGCTGCGGCTGTACTGGGGCGAGGGGTCAGAGGTTGGCACAGACGCCTGTGGAGCCACATCTCCCCGTCTTTCTAGAAACCACTCTATCCTCTGGAGAAAAACCTTTTTTTTTTTGAGTTTTGAGTTTTTTTTCCCGGAGAGCTGCAGGCAGGAGGTGGTTGGAGATGGAGCTTTGCTCCATGGCTGATTTTCTTGCTAAGCTCTGCTCTGCCTGCCTGGGCAAAGCCTGCGGGAGGGATGAGCTTCTCCACTTGCTGCGACCGTGCCGACGTCTCTGTCACTGGTGGTGGCAAAGATGGCCCTGCCTGCCCATGGGTGCTTTGGGTGGGATGGGGTGGTGCGCCGAGCCCCCGTCCTCATCCGCATGGAGTGAAACGCCAAGGGAAGGGGACACAGGGCACCGTCTGGGTGGTGGTGCCAGGGAGAGTCACTGTGGGGCACAATGAGAGCAGGAGCATGCAGAGATGGGGCGGTTGGCACCACGTGGGGGGGGATGTTGGGGATGGGGAGGGCAGAGATGGCCAGAGACCAGTAATGGCCTGAGGAATGGGGTGACAGAGCTGGTCCTCATGCCACTGGAAGGTGGTCTTGGGTAATCAGGAGATGGTCTCAGGTGGCTGGGAGATGGTCTTAGGTGACCAGGAATTGGTCTTGGATGGCCAGGAGATGGTCTTGGGTGACCAGGAGATGGTCTTAGGTGGCCAGGAGATGGCCTTAGGTGGCCAGGAGATGGCCTCAGGTGTATGGGAGATCATCTTGGGTGGCCAGGAGATGGTCTTGGATGACTAGGAGATGGTCTCGGTTGACCAGGAGGTAGTTTTGGGAAACAGGAGAAGGTTTTGGGTGGCCAAGAGGGGCCCATCCTGCCTGTGGTGCAGCCCTACCTGGTGAGGGTCCGTGCCCATATGGCCTTGCTGCAGTGACCTGCCATAGGGACCTGGGGACACAGGGATGGGGCTGCACAGGGTCCCTGGGGGAGGACGTCACATGTGCCCTGGCCCTGTGGATCCCTGTAGGGGGACATCACGTATGTCCTCACCCTGAGGTGTGGGATGCAGCGGCCTCTTCCCGGGATGGGGACATTGAGCACCCATGGTCAGTGGGGGCCAAGACCAGGGTCTGGTGTGGCTGAGGGGATGTGGGTGCCCCCCCATGCCCAACCACTTGCCGTGCCGGGCCCTGCTCAAACCTCCTCTCCCCCCACAGCCTCGCCGGCAGCCACCTCGCCAGGATGAACGGGATGGCCAACGTCAACCCTGCCAGCCGCAGCCACTACGCCTCGGCCATCCCAGTGCCCCGTGCTGTGGCCCATGGCAAGCTGCACGCTGCGGCCCCCACGAGCACCCCAGGGCCCC